ACAGTGAAAAATCAACACATGATGTGAAACATGATGATTAGGTGGTGCAGCAGGTGATGAGTGAAGATGGTGAGTGATGGTAAACGATAAATCTAGCAACAGGAAAGAAACTAAAGTGGACATAGCAATAAACCAAGAGAGGACAATACTAATCAAAGGAAACTAAGTGGAAATGAATGAAGAACAAAATGCAAGAATAAACTAAGAAACTAAAGTAAATACAGAGGAATAAACTAGTATGGCAAGACCTTTAGAGCAATAATTAATACAGAGACTGTATGGCAAGAATAAACAGACACCATTTCCAGATAAAAGGCAAAATAATATTGTTGAAGTGCCATGGGTTTGTTGAGACCACATCTAATATTGAGAATAAATATATCTTACAGACCATAACAGTAAAGAACTTATCACTTTTTAATTAGATGATATATTTCTTCAATATTATTTTTCATGTCAGTGTTAATGTCATGAGGCTGACGACTCCATTTCACTTTCAATTTGACTCATTAGGATTTGATTAAGTACCAGATTTGCTCTTTGTAATTTCTGTCCAGTAAAACTATTAATCTTTAAATCAATAGACAGGTCCATATAAAGATATAATCAATGTTTCTGTCTCATATTTCTATGGCATTAAAGGACCTGGAACTTTTGTTTTTCCACTGAAAGCTCTGGTTTGCACAATAAATGCCATGTGGGTGAAGTTTTATGGATGATACTCTGATGTCCCATTCTCCTGAAGGCAGCACAGAGCTGCACCACCAGAAACTGACAATCACTGAAGAGAAGAAGAGTTATGATTAATGTAGTTACAGTTCTATCCATGTTTTAATGCTGCAGAGCTCAGTTGTTTTACAAATAGTTCAAAGTTTAAACTGGCATGTTGAACATCTTTTATCTGGTCATTTTGTGGAATATTTAACAACTAGAAAATGGCACAAAATAAGAATATTTTTTCCACTCTGATTGGCTGCTGTTAGGCCTACAAGTTTTAACTTTAATGTTCACTGCATTTTTTGTAAA